GGACATTTTTGTGGTTCAATTTTGATGTTCTGCCCACAGTTCCGGATCACCCAAAAACGAATCACTGTAAAATTTTGCTGTAAATAACACTCCAGGGACAGAAACAGGGATGTACCTGCACCCTGGTCCCTCAACCTGATGGGTCAAGCTCATCGGCAACAGTTTCTCAATTACCAGTTGGTGACAAAGCAAGAGACCTTCTTCTCAAGAGTCGCTTAGGCGCACACATTCCACTAATTTATACAAATGGATATTTTGTCAAACCTTGAATTGCTACTAGTCAAATAATGATCTCACATTTATTTGGCTTCGTGTACATTTATTTTTCAAACGCTTTGTCAATAAAACATGGAAATCGATGGGAGGAATGAGCGTTTACGCAGTTCACATATCCATATATTGAATGTGTGATCATCGTGGACAGAGAGTAACAACATATTATTTATTATTTCCTTTGTAATTCAGATATGTTAGGCCAAGGTATACTTTTACAAATATGCATCATTAAGTTAATTGGAATTTTATGTACCTACCTACCTATGAATACTTTATTACTATATATGTACAGACAAGCTGCGTAACAAATCAATATGGATAAGAATATTTCATAATTTTAGGTAATGACGCAAATCAGATTAAGGGTTGATTTTTCGCGTTACCGATAACTTCATGCGGAAACAAATGTAATCAAATGGAGATGAATCTAACTGGCTCATGAAAATCTAGCCTTAAGCGCATTTCCCTTAAAACGATTAAGTTATGTTTCATGTACTCCCTTTAAGTGTATTAAAAAAAAGGCGGACTCCTTACCTTTGTATTCACTTCGTAACTTGACTTTCAAAGTACTCAAGTCAAGTACCTATTTATCTGTCAATCGACTGAAACATGAAGTAGTTTGTCAAACTACTATCCTCCAGAAGTTCCAATCGCCCATTGTGCTAGTACTCTTCCCTGACACAAGTTTTTCGAGATATTCGCACTTTTAAACATATCATTAATGGATATGCCTTGTCCAGACGTTCCAATTGCTCTTTGTGAGTTCTCTCCTTGGACACTCCGTTCTCAAAATATGGGAAACTATAACCAATCTGGATGAGTAATTACAGTACCGCCCAGGAGAAAGTCTGTTCTACTCCCGCCTCTATCAGAGGGAAGGAAGAAGGACGGTAGTTGGTAAAACTTTCGTCGAGACCTTTAATTGGGATACAATGCAGTATGAAACTAGTATTTGGTACGGAAGCTCTTGATTCGACCTTAGAAAGAAGTGCAGTGATCTTGCTGCTCATGCATGGTCATGGGAGAACGGTAACGTTACCTTGACGGAGGGGCATTAAAGTGACAGCTGCAGTGTGAGTCCTAGCATTATCTTGCTAAAAAAATAGGGTTTTCTAGTTCTCTCCCATAGGGCACTGCCGCCTGTTTTAAGACATTATAAACGTTACCCTAAGTGTGCATGTTTATTTCAAAAAATGCGTACTTCCATAATGTCATAATTCAACTCACCTTTTTCCGCGTCTTCAGCGAACCCGTTTCGGTCATCGTTGATTCACAAACAGAATCGAGATTCGTCACTAACTACGACCCGGTTCCATTCCTGATCCCACTCGTCTCTTCTTGGAACCAATGCAGATTTGTGTTCGGTTTTGTGTCGTTCGGTTAACGAAAAGATAATTTTGTTGTAGGGGTTTGAAAGGGGTTGAAACTTGTTTAAAAAATATGAAACACTATTATTTGATGACTTATAAGGAAATATAAAAGATGAAATAATAAAGAATTATGATGCCCTAAAACGCTTTAAAAGAAGAGGCTGTATAGTATTAGTTTGTTTAAATTTGATGCATCTAAAATGTATTCTCTCCGATGGAAAATCTCTTATTTATCTGGTATTCTGATGAATTTTCTCTCACCCTTGCTTTGATTTATGTTCTATCCTCCTTCGCTATTAATCGTTTCTAGTTGTAGGTACTCCTGTTTATTTATAGTTAGAGGTAGCTCCGACTCTCCGTATATTACTTTCCAGAACCTTCATATGTTTCCTCAGTCATCATATTTCATGTTTCTTTCTTTTTATTGATTTTATTTTTTGGCCTATTTATCACTTTACTGACATTATGCGTTTGTTAATTTCATGCCATCTCGACTGTAACCGAGATATCGGTGCTCTCCAACACAAATTTTACTTGATGTGATGAAATAAATAAAGAAATAAATAAATAAGGTTCTTTATTCAATAATCCTACTAAAATACCCCTATACCTAAATAACCCCATCTAGACAATGCGATGATTATATCTATATAAACCAAACGAATTCCAACCATTAAAGCTTATAGAGAAGTTTATGACGATGCACGAATATAAACGCGTGAAAAATTATTCACATGCAGAACGTAAAGAAAAATAATCGGTACCTTTTAATTGTTGCAATCGCAGTAAGTTGCTGACCTTAGCTGGGTGAAGCGGTTGTCGTCTCGATTCGAATTTCCACCGTTCTCTCTATTATAGTAGACTTCATGTGCTATGTTTTGGCAAGTGGGCTCTCTATACTGGTTCCCCAATTAATTTTAGTTAATATCTTCCTGGTCCCATTTCTCCAAAAAGACAAATTTAAAGCTGGTTAATAATATGTTTCAGGCTGGTAAAAATTTTCCAATGAGAAGTTTCTAATGTCGAACATGAAGCCAAAGAGCGTTTTCTTTATTACCACGTTGCTATTTTTCGGAGGAAGAATATTGCCACTGAATTTCTTTTCTTTTACTCACCTTTATAATTCACTTTGCCCTTAACAATCGGACCAATCCACTTTTAAAATAACAAATTCTAGCGCTAATTGTTTTATACAAATCGCAATCGCGTACATACGTACTTGTCCGCTTTCAGAGAGCGAATGCTGTTAATGACTCATTCTCCTCTTATGAAAATGCAGATTCGTGCAACTTAATGTCAGTCTATTTCCTCATTACGTACCTACTTTAAAGACCAATTCACATTATGGGTCACCTCACGGTCCGCTCGCGGTGAGGTTAATTGTTATAGCGTATATTACTTAAGGCGTGTTCACATTACCGGTCAGGTTACGGTAGCACATGTTAAGAAATACGCGCTACAATAATTTACCGTACTGTGAGCGGACCGCGATCTGACCGTGCCGTGACCGATAATGTGAATTGGCCTTATTAATAAAATTTAAATTACATTGTCAAATTAACAATTAACAATTCACAGTGTCCTGATTGAGATTGTTCATGCGCTTTTTTTAAGCCTCAAACAGAAAGAAAGCCTCAAAAGAAACGGTAATGGGTTGAATAAAAAATGCAAAAAATGTGTTATTTACAGTAATTCCTTTTGATAATTTGACGTAGTACGAATATATTCAGCCTTCTCATTTCCAAAAAACGGTCGACGGGAACAGCTGGAGGGAAAAAATTCCAATCTTCGTAAATGGAGCAGTTCGGTATTTTTTTTAACTTTCAAACGATTTCACCAAATTACGTAATCCATCCGGAAACGAAAATACCATTGAATAAATGTTATATACGCATAAATATTGACAGGTGGCGCCGCGCTTTTAGGTTATGCTGTTTATTTTACATCCAGTTTCCTAAGTTCAATGTCAAAGGGTTCAAATTCGCACGACTTAATATTTCCCCTGATTAAAAACTAAAATGTAATTATTTCAAATTAATTCTTACAGTCGAATTAGTGCAACGCAGTTACACTTATTAATTCCTCGCAGGGCAATCATCCGTCAGAACTTAAATTGCGCACTTGTATCTAAAAAGAAAATTTCCGACACGAATATTCACCTATGGCCTTTCACGACCCAAAAAATCACCCTCGGTAATTTATCAGTTGAGTTACACTTAATTTCTCTCGGTTTCAACAGTTCCCTACGACCCTCTGTTCTACCAATAGAATTCATTTCGATTTACCAATCACTTTTCCAGAAAAGCGTTTTCCAGACACCTCTAACGGAAAATTCCCACAAATCTGGCTCAAACGGATCTAATTCAGCCGGACTACCACGTACTTCCCGTTAATTTCATCTTATGGCCCAACAGTATGTCGCTTCTACGCTTTCCCACGCAAATACATTATCAGGATCGTAATTGAGGACCAAAAATTTACATATCAAAGAAACCTGCGTTCTAATCAGACCATCCCTTATAACTTGTAATGTCCCAATCCTAAAAATTCGCACAACCCCAAAGGAAATTCAACTCCGGACCTAGCATGGAACGAACCACCCTTAAACCATTTAAGATTCTAACGGAATCTCCAGGAAAAAATGAATAGAAATGAATTTGTTTGGAATCGATTTTCGAATGTTATTGTTTTTTATGGAAAAATATAAAAACAGTACTCCCGAATATTAACAATTAGTAGTTACTTCATCCGATCTTTTTGAAAATCTGTATTTGGTCACTTCTTTTGATATCAAAACAGTATGACAAGCCCGATCACCGTACGTTGTATTGTCATCGATTAATTAAATAAAGAAGCTACAACAACGATGCTTTGTCTTTCAAAGTGATCAATTCCCAGAGCGTTTTCAATATTTTTAATAGATGGTGGAACTCTAAAACAACCTTTTCCAAAAATTGACCCGATGATTCTTGCAAACCGACGGACTGTGGAATTTTTTTAGTTAACCCCCGAAATATAACAAGAAAGGTTACTCTACAATAAGCCTTTGGCACTCGAATTAATAAAAATCATTAATTTTGATCAAATAGAGGCATACCAAAAATTAACGGTTTAAAGAATCGTTCTGTGTGACCCGACTTGCGAAATCATGTTTGGTTGCCTCGAAAACCAGCTCCAAAGTCAAAAGCTGATTCATCGGATTTGGACGTATTCCTAGAGGTTTCCATTCGCCTATTATAAAGTTATATTCCTTTTTACAATATCCAGTTTATACTACTTTTGGTGCTAATTTGACTGGGCTAGTAAAGCCTCCATTAATTCACGTAGTTTTGAATAACATTATTATTTTTCCAGAGGGAATGCATATCAGTTCACATTGGTCAAGCCGGAGTACAAATTGGAAACGCATGCTGGGAATTGTACTGTCTCGAACATGGAATTCAACCTGACGGACAGATGCCTTCTGACAAGACAATCGGTGGCGGTGACGATTCCTTTAATACATTTTTCAGCGAAACTGGATCCGGAAAACACGTACCACGAGCGGTTTTCGTCGATTTGGAACCAACCGTCGTAGGTGAGTAGCATTTCGATCAGCAATAACGCGAAACCTCCACACGATAGGTATTATTATTTATTGACAAAACGAAAACCACATTATAGCGTGAAGGCATGAACATGCAAATGTCTTGTTGCAGACGAGGTGCGCACGGGAACCTACCGGCAGCTTTTCCACCCCGAACAGTTAATCACAGGAAAAGAGGATGCGGCCAATAATTACGCCCGCGGTCATTATACAATAGGAAAGGAAATTGTAGATATCGTTTTGGATCGGATGCGAAAACTGGCGGACCAATGCACCGGTTTACAGGTAGCATAATCCGATTTCACACGCGTTTCAAAATTTCTTTCAGGGATTCTTAGTTTTTCACTCGTTCGGAGGAGGTACCGGTTCGGGATTTACAAGTTTACTGATGGAGAGGCTCAGTGTCGACTATGGCAAAAAATCAAAACTGGAGTTCTCTATTTATCCAGCACCACAAGTACGTGCGTGTCCACTTTTGTCAACCATAACAAAGAGCCCTCTTCTTGTAGGTCTCGACTGCAGTCGTAGAGCCATACAATTCTATATTAACAACGCACACAACTCTCGAGCATTCCGACTGTGCTTTTATGGTTGACAATGAAGCCATCTACGATATCTGTCGCAGAAACTTGGACATCGAACGTCCCACGTACACGAATCTAAATCGTCTGATTGGACAGGTAAAGGATGAATGTAAATTGCAATTTTTAAAGGTCAGTTTAGATCGTTTCCTCGATTACCGCTTCGCTCAGGTTCGACGGGGCTTTAAATGTAGACTTAACCGAATTTCAAACAAATCTGGTACCTTATCCCAGAATTCACTTTCCACTGGCTACGTATGCTCCGGTAATTTCCGCCGAGAAGGCTTACCACGAACAACTCACAGTAGCGGAAATTACAAATGCGTGTTTTGAACCAGCTAACCAAATGGTAAAATGTGACCCCAGACATGGAAAATACATGGCCTGCTGTATGTTATACAGGTGAGCATGGGTTATTTATTTCTTTGTGTCTACGAAACATATTTAGGGGGGATGTTGTACCAAAAGACGTCAATGCAGCAATCGCTACTATCAAAACGAAGCGCACCATACAGTTTGTGGATTGGTGTCCTACAGGTTTTAAGGTTGGTATCAATTACCAACCGCCCACCGTAGTGCCTGGGGGAGATTTGGCGAAAGTTCAACGGGCAGTCTGCATGTTGTCAAATACCACTGCTATTGCTGAAGCTTGGGCCAGGTTAGTTTTGGAATCACAAAACGTAAATACTAGCATAACCATTGCAGATTGGATCACAAATTTGATCTTATGTACGCTAAGAGAGCCTTTGTGCATTGGTACGTGGGAGAAGGTATGGAAGAAGGCGAATTCTCAGAGGCCCGCGAGGATTTAGCTGCACTCGAAAAGGATTATGAAGAGGTGGCGGTGGATTCACTGGAGGGTGAAGGCGATGAAGGCGACGAATACTAATAAATATACAACAAAAAACGAGCACCAGCACTGCGTTTACTAGATAGCGAAGGATGACTTGCTTTTTTATATTGAAATATTAGGTTCAAAATATGTTAGTTACTAATACCTACTGATTGATCAACTAATCAATTTTATACCGCTTTATATGAAATGGCAATATTATGAATTATTAATTTCGTAATATACTGTGACGTTTTTTACACTTTTATTTGGCATGACCCGGCGATCTAGGACTTTTGTTCCTAAACAATTAACTACATATGACCCATTTTGCAGGTAAATCGCCCTCAAAAAATCAAATGGATAACGTTGGATTTTAACACGAGTATGAGAAAACCAAAGAAATAAACACAACCCCCGAGTTCCATTTATCTGTTTAAAAAACAACTAAATAGTGTCAGTTAGTCAAACAAGTTACTGTCAGTGTAGTGTGTCCAAGAGGGTGAAATTTCTAAATAGCTCATTTTTGCTTAAGCAGTTTAGGGATTGTCTATTAAATTATTTGCACAAAAATGGACCCATATAATCAAAAAACCAAGCGTAATTAGGATCAAACCACCACTTCCAAAGAGTTATAACTATTGTAACGTAAATTTAATTACGTTGTTTATTTATTTACAATTAATTAATAATAACTTTATTGAAGTATTGTTTATCACTTACATATAACAGCGCGAACTATTCATTACTTCGGCGTTGAATTTTGAACTGAACTAAAACGCAATTCAACTTGCTCATACAGCAAACGCTTCCTTTTTCTCGAAAGATCTCGAACGCTTCCGAACGCAACCGACTATTCTAGAAGGTTCTCGAACAAATAGGAAAGATTAGGTACGTCACATCCACCTTCGTTCTTTTTCGCCGACGACTAATGACTACATGGTGCCTCGAGGTCTATCGAGTTTCCTGGAATGTTCGCTACACTGTTATTATAACAATTCGGTTGCAATATTGCATAATATAGAGATTATTTACTATGATGGAGTTTGGTAAATAATTTTTAATACCATAAGAGCTTCATAGGAAGGTGGAAAATTCAATTATACCTACGATGGGAATATTTTGGCATTTTTACAGTGTTACTTTGACCTCTTGGTAGTTTCAAAGCTTCCAATGTTACGTGACGAAAATAGAATATCACCAGAGGCGGGTGAAATAAATTTACAAGTGATTTCGAATAAAACATACAAAAGGCATTGACCGAAAACAATGTAAAATGTAAATTGAGAGAAAATTTTAAAATGCAGAATAATAGTTTATTATATTAGACGATAAAGGGATATTTTAACCATTGAGTAAATTAACTTTCACGAGATGGATAGTTTCCCTTTATCGTCGTGTATAATACTGAATTATGGTTAAAATCACAGGAATTTTACTCATTAATAGTTATTTACATATAAGTCAGGAAAATGATACATTACTGGCGAGGAAATTCCGAGTCCGAGTCAGGTAATGACATTTTACTGACGAGTTTTGTATTGAATTTTACCCGAAATCGTCGTTTAATACAAAATTTCAATTTTTATATAAAACTTTTGAATAATGTCAATCTGTCAGTGATGACAGGTGTCATTATAGACATTTGGAAATGTCAAAAATGCGGCCGGCAAAGTGACGGTGCGGTCGGAAAAGTAAGTGACAGGTCCGGACAGTAAAGTGACAAGCCGCAGGAAACGTAGTCTGCTCTGCCTCTGTCATGGAAACTAAAATTTCCTGACAGAAAGTAGGCATGAAAATGAAGGTTTCAGGACGATTTTAGGTAAAAGAGTTTTATAGCTTTCATAATGCGAATCCTTAGTTTACATTTTATGATCCATATTATTTCCGTTTCTACTATTTACATTATTAAGAAAAAAATTTAGTTATTTTCTTCCCAACACCGGGATAGGTTTCTTCCTTTTAATTTTTATAATTAAATATAAGTATATTAGTTTATTAGTTTGTACAGAAGTGGAGAATAAATCATTATTCTTATTATCATTATTACAAAACTTTATGTTATATCAGACGCCATTATAAATCAATGTAAAGCTTTTGACAATTCTGAATTAAATTTAGCCGTAGAAAGTAGCAAGCTTAGATTCTGTCATCGCGGTCGTTTCAATATAAACAGCATTGTCATAGGTTCTGAACGTCATTGTATATGGTGTTTCGCGTCCCATTTGAAATAAAAATGACAGATGTTATTAGAATGCATCTGTTTCACTACCCTTGCGGTTAAAGTGAAATCTTTATCTACCCTCACGGTGAAAGAACGACTTATCCTACATCAGCTATTAAATAAAAAAATACAAATGTTATATTAGCAAGGAGACTCTGTGAGCCTTTTAAACGGTCATTAGAGCATGTGCACTCCCCAGAGCTACGAGAGCTCAAACATTCTGCATTCAACACTATCAACAAGATCTTAAATTCGATTTCTATCTTCTAAACACAAGAGACAGACCTGCATTTTAGTCGCTTCTTGTAACACGCAGTGCCTTCTGCGCTAGGGATATTCTTTCCCCGTGCATAAATATTCTATTGCCAGCATAAGCAATTTGTATATATAACAATGAAAATTAAAAGGAAATTCAAATGTAAACGACTTGGACCTCTACGTTTCCTTCCGTTATACTAACAATAAATCATAATTTAAAGTTACGAGTTCATTTACCCTCGCCCCTGTATTTAACCCTTCCGGCATCCATTCTAAGCAAACTTTACGTGTGTGGCTAATGATATCAATTTTGATTTGATTATTTTGTTATTCGCACGCGATGAACTTACAAATCGCTTTGTATAACGTGAAAGATTGATTAGCAAATCCCAAACAATTCTCAGTAATTACTCGTACGGTCTTTGACAAAAGTAATGGTCGCCTAATAGGTTTCTTCAAGCAGGAGATAATTTGTTGAATCTGATTTCCAAGTTGCACAATATATTCAAAGGTTGCGTATATGATGCAGGATTTATATCTACCCGGTGATCATTACTTTTGTCAATGACTGTACATTCGATAGGCAATTCTCCCAAATTACTTGGTCATTTTTGGCATAAAACTAAATTAACCTTCTTATTTAACAATCAAACAATAAATAATAATTCGAGGTATGGTGCCGCACGTGTCGGTACAAATGATCATAAGGGGTGGAAAGTGGTAAAAAGAATGCGTTCAAGAATTCAGGCGGAGAGTCTGCAATCAACCCTTCGATATTTTCTTTTTTAGCGTAACACAACGAGTCATCATTTACGGATGAGTTACGCGGGTTTTGAAACATTTTTTTTCTGTGATGGTTCATTCTGAAAATCACAATTCACAGGTCACTTCAATTTTACTGGAACACACTTACGTGGTTCTGCATTTCAGGGATTTGTGCTTTTCGTGTACAGAGTGTTAACTTTTTCCAAATAAACCGATGGTTCAACGTGGCTCGTTTGGGAGTTTGGAGTTCAGGAGTTTTTAAACATGAAAATCGCGAATCTGGAATTAGTTTTTCAAATTACGAAAAACCCAAACGAAAAACGTTGTGTTTATTTAAAAAAAAGGTGCTTGTTTTGATCCCCTATATCGGCCAATTTTGTCTACATAATTATAGGTTAATGTCCTGTAGATTAAAGAGCTATGTACTTGAGAATTTAACGGCGTATTTATTTGTGAGAAAAAAGACGGAGGCTGCAAAATTTTTGACCTTCCTCTGATTTTCCCTTTATCGTCGTGTATAATACAAAACTTTATTTTATAGCAGAAGCCATACAAATCATTGTAAAGTTTCTGACAATTCTGAATTTAATTTAGAAACGTCAAAAATAGCAAGCTTAGGTTGTACCATCGCGATGGTTTCCATAGAAACAGAATTGTTATATGTTCTGAACGTCATTTATATCGCGCATTTGAAATAAGATTGACAGATGTTATTAGAATGCACAGTAATTTGTTTCACTTTATTTATTTATTTATTCATTTCATAAATCTTGCTGATGTGCAAAGCACTTATAGTCGTCAAAACATAGAAACATTAAATTAGAAATAGTGTATGTAACACTATTTGTAATTTTCCTTACGGTTAAAGTGATTACTTTATCCTCACGATTAAAGAACGGCTTAGCCTACTCATTCAAACCTGTTAAAATGTCAATTTAACATTTGGTATAAAATAAAAGGTTTTTTATACATTGTGCACCAACATTTTACAACCTACTCGCGGTTAAAGGAATTAAAATCGTGGCTCTTTACCTTAGAAAACATTGAAATTTTGTTTAAATAAATTAAACGTTTCTCGTCTTCAAATATCATCATTGTTATTAATTATCTGCAGTACTTTATCCGGCAACAAGCACACACAAGATTGTTTGTAATAGGCACATTTTTTTCTTTAAGTACAAATTTTTTTTATTGCTATTGCATAAAGTATGGGATCCTGTCCACCATCACCACATTCCATATAATTTCTGAGGGTAACCTCCATACAACAATGTTAAGGAGGTACTTATCCATACCGCACTTTAAGTCTAATTTTATTTTATTGTACTGTAACAAAAAAAATTATTGTCAATTTGAATGTATTATTTTTATTTCTTTCTTTCTGTTTTTTTTGTGCTTTGGAAAATAAACTTTCTTTCTTTCTTTCGTTGCATTTTCGTATTCTCCATAATACTCTAGGCATGTTTCATGTAAATTCAGTTCACGGATTATTTACGTGACGTAATTAGGAATATTTCTACAGAAAATGTACGGCAGGAATTGATTGATCCTAAATTCTGAGAGACGCCAGGGCATAAGTATCAAGTATCAAGTTTGGGGAATGCACTGCAGAGCTGTTAATGGCGGAAGGCGGACGCATTCAGTATATGTGAAAAAATAATTTTTGAGATTTTAAAAAACCACGTTTATTTTTTGAGATACATGGTGGAAACGAAAACTTTTGACTTTTGGACTGTAGACCGCACCTATGTAAGATAAAAAGAATGTCTATTTTAGATATTTTTAGGTAGAATCCATTGAAATAGTAAAAAAAAGTTGGACTACCTATTTTGAGATTTTTTAAATGCAACACCCTGTATATCGTAACGTACATTTTTTTTCATTCTTTTTCCTGATTACATTGATGTATCACAACCTAGTTTGAGAAAAAAAAACCTGTTTTTTTCGGGGGTAAGGAAAAATTGGATGCATATATCCAGTAAAATTAGTGTATCTAGTAGTGTTAGCACTTTAATCTGGAGAATGTCGTCCGGTGGAGGATTTCTGGATGTGGGGATGTGTAGTACCCCTCGCGCTATTGAGCTCTAGCTCTAGCTCCAAAATAATGGGAGATGTTCATTGCCTAACCTCGCCTGTATGTACTGGGAAGTATGGAGAGAGTGGTAGGTACTTGGTAGCGTCCCTTTTGGTGGTAGGCTTGCTAATTTCTATTTAGCATTCGCCATTGATCATGTCAATAATCAGTACCGTAGGTCGTTGTAGCAATTATATGACAACGTCACATGTCTACGTCAAACTGGCAGGCGTTTGACAGTAGAGGTAACACTGCCGTCAGCTGTTCTAATGTCACCAACAATCACAAGCTGACAACTCCCACCAAAGAAACGTCATGCCGCTCGGTAGCAGTCACGTGCACATCCCCCACCGGAGAAACAAGACATAAAAGAGCGCGCATGGGCGTAACATTTTAGTCTGTGATTTTAGTTTTCTTCTGCTGTTAATAGCGAAGAGCTCCTCGAGAGCTACTAACAGCTGCTAATAGTGTAAACCTAAATACCTCTCGCTGCTTAATAGCGTAGGCACTCCACCGCTCCTACAGCGTGGACGTATCACAGCGACCTGATAACACCTTCACCTACGGGTCCGAAGAGGAAGAAGAAACGTGCTAAGGAATTTTCTTAGACGTTCTCCACTACCACAGCCAACATCCCTTTTTCCAGCGACTCCAAAGCATCTTCACAGAGAAGACATCCCCTGTAAGCTGGCGCAGTGTACTACCGTTGGATTTCCATACGAAGAAATCGGTCTCTGTTGAGTCTGTTTACAACATCCTCGACGTTTTCCCATTCGTTCGTTGTTTCGCCGTTTTACGTTTAGCAAAATATTTAAATTGCAACCTTTAAATTGTTCACCGTTATTAATTAGTGTTACGTTGTTGTTGTGTTCATAAACCCGTTAATAAAAAAGACACTAAAGTCGATAAGGTTGTCACCTCCATAAACTGCAACCAGGAACTTTTCTTTAGCGTTTCTGATCTGCTGAGGAGTAATACGTTTGGTATGAGAAACGAAGCCACTGTTTAAAACTGCGCGTGAACTAATGAATTTCCGAAACGATTTTCACTTATATTTATACGTATCCCCACATTATCTACCGTCCTCGTAAGCGATTATCTAACCTATGGCTAATCGTTTATCAACCCCTCGCGCCAATTTAAGCTTTTTGTCATTTAACATTCGATACTGAACAAATGCAACTGACTTTCAATGTATTACAATGACTCACTTAATTACCTCATCCCGAATATTATAGGTAGGTACATACGTATAGAAATGTTTATGATCTTATTCTATTTACATGTGAAATAAAATTGCATTTCTAACTGCGATTGTTAGTTTATCTAATTCCCTTTTTGCTTCCTTACGGTTAAATAATAATATAACAAGTTAAAAAGTAATCGTAATCGATTTACATACTTAAAGCGCATTTCCACTTGCATTCATTTCCCATTTGTAAGATGCAACTTCTGTTAAAATCGTAAAAATCCGGCCACAAATATGAAAGATAGCGTTGCATAGGCGAAATCCATTTTTGACGTGCTACTTTAATTTCATTTTATAAGAACAATTTCATTTCAATGCTTTTCTAAATAATAAAGTTGGAACTGCGCATGCGCAAACCTAAATTTTGAAACTAATGTTAGATTTTCCTTTATTCCAAGTGCCTATGTATCAAATTTAATTCAAATACTTTTATAAATAAAAAAGTTTGCAATTCGGTTTATAAATGGTCGAGATGCGAAAAGGGCACTGTGAATTTTGAATTTTAAATTTCCGAATGTCGGCGGTAAATTTGAAATTGTGCGAGATTTGAATGTTTGAATTTCCGGATGTCTGAATATCAAGGTTTTCAAACTTGTGCGATGATACCGGCGATACATACGACACAAAAACATGCCGATCGGCTGCATGAGGAAGAGAAATGTACATACAGACCTAAATATGTAAAGAAGTAAAAAAGAAGCTAAACCATGCACAAATAATTGAACTAAGCGCAAAATTGGTCAACTCAAGTGAAATTAAACTATTATGGTGCAATCGTCCCTTAAAGTAGTAAACAAACAAAGACGTTGACATCCACACTTACCATGTTAATAATTAGTTGAAGTCAAAGCAAAATCGTTCATACCTCATGAGTCAAAACCGGCAATTCCCCATTCTGAACCACTGACAGATCAAGTTCTGTGTACCCCCACATCAGAGCATGTGAGAAGGCTACTCATTTTCATAATTCCTGTAGCTTCAAAGCCCGACGGATATCACAATCGGCCACTTTTACAGTAGCCCTGTTTGCGGATTTATGAAATTAGACAAATTGCATTTATTGGTCTTATAGTACATATTGTTGTGTTAAAATCTTATGAAAAGATCGAATTGTGTCGTAGGCACAGTAATCCGACAGAATTGCAAAACGTGGGTTTACTTTTCTAAAGCCTCGGGACGATGATTCGCTTGGGCATTACTAACACAATACTTATCATCATAGGAACTACAGAAATGCGGAAGCACAGTATCCCATAAGTCATAGCATATTGCTTCATTGATATCGAACGAAATGGGATCGGTGTGATCGTTATACCAAGTGAGGAACGAATAGTGATCTAATTCCCGTTTACGACCTGCTCCGCTTTGCGTTGGACTACTGCCATCTGTTAGGTCACGCCTTTTTTCCATTTGATGGGGATACTTGACGACTCTGTAGCATCTTAGAGGAAAAAAACGGACTTAGTACTCGTCTAGAGTTTTGCTCTTACCTCCAGACCCGGAAATTTCCTTTACCAAAACATCGTTTTCAAAGTATGGGTTGGGCCTAAAATGAAACTTCAGTTGATACCTCGACCTTTCTCCTTTAAAGTATTCCACGTCAATTTCCGTTAGAAAGTTGAAGCAGTCTTGGTCGGAACCTTCCAGCAAGGAATTTAGATCGGGATGATTTTTAAACTGGAACTCGTTAAGGTAATATACTGAAGAAGTACGTAATTTGCAGAAAGGATACAGTAGTTCTCCAAAACTGAGACACTTCCGACATAATTTGCCTACATTCCTTGTGCTGTTCATTGGATGCTCGTATTTCACACTGTGAACAATCTAACTGGTATAACATATGCTCATCGGGGTTTGAGTGCTTTAATCTCTTTGGTTCGGATTGCATGTTGGGCTACACTAGGACTGTGTTAATTACTTTCAAATTTTAAAGTTCTATAGGCCGAATATGATGATTTTTTTTAGTTTTAAGATCTATGACATGGGAGTGAAAATTAGCAGCTTGCCTAGCAACTATGGACAAATGAAAAAAATGATATAATCAAGAACGTTCACCGAATTTGAGAAAATGGCATCTTGATCTGCATACTTAAGTGTTTTTGTTCGCTCACATCCATGAATCTCCCTTTTATGTTCAACTTCAACCATTTTTCGACGATGGTTAATCAAGTCAAGCTAAAAAATACCCGATACTCACGACGATTGTAGTCATTTTAAATCGTTTGTTTCACCTTCTGTCTTTGAGTTGCATCAGAAACCAGGTCTCTAATGTCTACTTAATATTGGTATCACTACTCTTTTACAGCGTTTATCGCAAGAATAGACCAAAAATAGCAAATAGGGGAACTAAATCTATGTAATACGAATTGCTTCGGAAATGTGTAGCAGAATGTCCCCTGATAAACATAAAATAAAGTCCCCCCGACTACCGAGTGTGCTAGAGGGTATTTTATAATACTTTGCATCTAAATAAAAGCTCATTAAATTTGGTACAACTTTGATTATATAAACTTTCTTAAAAAAAACCGTTTTTAAGTTTTTGCCCCCCCCCCCACACACACGCACAAGACGATACTCGTAGATCTCGTCGTTTTGATGATCAATCAAAATCGTCGCCTGGTTTTTGATGGTCCTGGGCCGTCACTTTTGCTTGCATTCTGTATGGTGTCTGGCCAAACAAAAGGTACACAAACAAATAAACAAGCATCTTTAACAGTTAGGTCCTCTACTATTGGTGGATCGTCATCGTCGTCCTCTATTATAGGTAAATACTCCACTTTTGGTGGATCGTCAGGTTCAAGGCAGCATTTTGGCACGTTTCCCCAGAGCAGGTAGCATCACAGAACATAGGAGCCCTGCTTTCACGCAAGTGCAGCCACCTCTGCATCCTTTCTTGCATTTGCAGGAAAGGAGTTTTAGGAACTGGGGGAGGGGGAGGGGTACAGGGTGTTGCCGACTGGCAACGGGCACGAATCTAGCTGAGCTAAATTCCCAACTTCGTCCCTTTCTCTACTCCGAATCACTTTTGTACCTGTTGGTAAGTGCGATAGTGTTGATAGAACGCAGCCTCTGTGGTTGGGGACAAACGGGTTAGATTCGCTTTGGCGTTAGCTGCTGTCTTGACGAAAGTACGCTGACAGTGTCTGTCGGCTCGTCTCCTCCAAATATACCCGATCACGATAAGAGGTCGAGGAGGAGGACTATGGCTGGTAGAAATTAATTCTTTTCGTTGAGACCTTTCATTAGAGTACCATGAAGGGTAAAAGTAGTTCCCCCCCCCCCCCTCCACACCGAACTTTGATAAGAGGACAGAAAGAAGGGCAGTACTTGGTAGGAAACGGCTCTTTTCGTTTAGACCTTTAATTAGAATACAATGAGAGATAAAATTAATTTTTAACCCCCCCCCCCCCAGGCCACGTCGCTCACTGGTCTCGAAAAAAAGTCGCACGGGAAAGTTATGGTTGTTTACCCCTCTCCCCATTTTCTATGGCACCATTAAAGGCATGCGTATGCAACGTCTGAGACCAATTGGTTGTCGTATGTAAAAGTTATGCACATTTTACTTTCAATAACAGCATCTCAGGAAATTATTCGTGGGGGGGGGGGGCTCCTTTTAGACAGCGAAATTTAATGGCCGTCTGGCACACCTTCAAGGTATAAGCTACCTACTGCAAAAAATTCCAGGACTCTAGGACCATTCCCCTAGAAGTAGTTCAAAACGGTAGAAGTGGGTCCGGACGGACGGACGGACAAAACGCAAACAATAGCACATTTTTTTTATTTTTAAAAAAAGCGATAAAACTCAAAGAAATGATTTATTGTCGATTTTGACTGACCTACTGGGAAAATTACTAAGCGACCTCAAATCCGGATCATATCTGACTCGTATAGGACGTATAGGAATTGCAGTACAACGAGAGAACTCAATGTCTATGATCAGGAGTGGATGGAGCCGGCGGGATACCGGGAACTTTGGGCGCTTTGCAGCTGGTAGCATCACTCAAATGAAAACAAAAAACAGAGATAGAGCCAGGCTACGCCGCCACTTGCAAGGAATTAATTTCATTAATATTCGAAGGTGACGGTGCAAATAAAAAATGATCAAAGTCCTCGTACCCATCAATAAGGTCTTTTTGAACCACATTCCCTTTGTCGGTACCCACCTCCGACGTCCCGTTCACCCGCAATTCGTATTTTGGTGGATTTTGCTAAAAACCCTCCACAAAATAGTACCCCACTTTAGGGGCACTTCTCATAGCTCCAGCTTCTATTGGCGACACGAGAAAGCCAGGCGGCGATCCGAGCACTTAAGAGACTTTTAGGTGCGCACAATCGGACCAAAACTGTAGAAGAAGAAGGAAAAATCACCACATTAGTACAACACGCTTCGGGATGGCTCCCAGATGTCGCTAACCGCATCATATAGTAACTTGTTAATTACACGACTGCACCGGTGGCACTCCTTGTCTTCCTCCAAGCGTTTTTCTACAGACCCGCATTTGCTGCCAGCCAGCTAGCCAGCCGGCTCAAGTGAGATTAAAAGCTACCTTTGACACAAATTTGCAAATATGCGCTAAAAATGAAATAACTAATAAGGATATTTAAATGAGTAAATTGGAAGCAAATTGAGAATTTAAGGCGTTTAAAATCAAGCCATTGAATCGATTAAAGGTAGATTTTCACAAAGTATACATATTCTGTATTGATCTTTCCTTTTTAAATTCACATCATTTCCCTGATATTAAAAATGAAGTATTGCCTAATAATCTACCGGAAAAACGTTGGGAAAAATGCCAGATCTGTTCGATTACGAGAAGAAATTTTAAGAGCCTGAAGACAGATGTGGCTCAATCTTTCTGGGAAATACGACGTGTTTGTTAGAGAACATTCTGGAATACCCGGGAGCCTCCAGAAAGAACGGCGTTTGCTATATAAGCAAATCGAATTGCGTTTCAGTCAGTTCCAATTTCAACGCCGTAGTAATGAATAGTTCGCGCTTATAATTATTGTTATAAATTAATCCATTTTAAGACTTATACATTAATTAATTGATTCTTATTCTTTCGCAATTCTGAAATGTATCATTGCGATTAAGGAACAGGTTGTGTAACAATAATCTAGAAGCATTTATGTTGTTGGGACATAATTATCAACAATCATTGTTAAAAAAAGCATAAATGTTTGAAATTAGGGCGCATTGAGTATCCCTCCCCCACCCGCTAAGTGGGCCGATAGTCAAGTATATTTCACGGACTGGTTTATGGTTTCCCATCCACCCCTGTCTATGATGGAGGAACTCTCTCCTAAATTTTCAATTTAAACGACCATGCGTGTTAAATATTTAATTGCACTATTGTTAATTACGGTGAACTCTAATACTTGTTCTTGGAGAGGCCAGGAATCGTAAGTGTGATAGAACAGACTAAGTAAATTACGCAGAGAGGGAATGTTAGTACGTATTAAAATTAATACCCAAGTACCCTGACCATACCGCCAAGTTCCCCTTTGTATTAATTATTTATGAGAAAACAACGGTATAGTTACAGTAAAAGGAAACCTGCGTTTATTTGACAACACATCCTGAAGGTTAATACATTTTATTAAAAAAAAGATATTCTGAATATTTACAATAAGTACCTAAGCTACTTACAACGCAAATTATTTGGTTACAAGTCGCGATATTGAATGTGACCCATCTCCCGTTTTCATTATCACCCTTTCCACGAACTGTCGTGACGGCGCTCTTAAATCATAAGCCCATCCAATTTTTGCAAACATATCAATCCAAAAAGTGGTCAAGTTGAACGAGTAGTTTCCCAGTTCAGCCGCTTTGTAGTCCCAAGGGAACGTATGGTGATAATTGTGCCAGCCTTCGCCCATCGTCACGATTGACACGCCTAAGTTTTCTGACGGATTTATTTTTCTGCAATAGATCTTTTAGCTAGAAGAATAAAAGTATAAAGGTATATGTGTACTTATCGTATGGTTTGTAGCCCCAGAGGTGTGCCGCGCTGTTTACGAACCACGTAAAGTTTAAACTGCAGCAGTAACGATAGACGCAAATCGCTACAATTGACCAGAACCAATCTTCACCAAACAAAAGCGGAGGCACAATCGATGGAATAATAAAAGCAAGCATCATTTTTAAGATGGAGAAGTGTCTGAAATGTGACCATTTAGTCAGTTACGGCGAGTTATAATATGCTAACTTCACGTGAAATTGAACGACCGGGTCTGCCAAAACGTCGTCCATATCGATCTCCTTCCCTCTACGTATGACATCGGGATGTTTCCTCATCATCAACCAACCAACGTGGGAGAAAAAGAAGCCTCGTTTTGCATTGTGAGGATCGGCTGAAGTTTCTGTGTACTTATGATGTACTCGATGATCTCGGACCCAGTCGTGAATGGGATTCTGTGTTAGTATTGCTTTACGCACGTCAAAAATATGATTATTTGCTCACCTGACCGGCCATCGTGAAACATATCATTAAGATGATTCGCAATGGTAACGTGGCTTTGTAGGAACGATGTGACCACAGTCGATGCACTCCACCTGTAATACCAAATCCATTCATTCCACCGATGGCGACTGCTGTAAAATAACATATTATTTATTGATTGCAATGTAAAAACGCATTTCACTAATCGTAACCTGAGTAAGTATAGTCCACAAAAATATGTCAAAGGGTCACTTCGCTCTACTAACAAAGGTACGTAGTGATACTCCAGAACCCAGAGAGGGCAAAAGAAGATCTTCAATTTAGAAAAGTTCTGTTAACGTACAATGCCATATTAGGAGTAAAGCAATTAAATTTGAGTATTGACTCAAGAACATCAACTCGAAAGAGTAACAGTAAGTAAATGATCTCCAGAAAGTAGTTTAGCAGATCTGCAGAAGATGGTAGGTATATTGTAAACAGCTTTTAGGTTTTTGCGCAACACCAAGTTTTGAAGCTGGCGTTATATTTGGTTTTATTCCAAGTACAGACGGACGGACAGACAGACAGACATCGTTAAAATTTCAAAGAAACATTTTGATAAATAAGGAAGTTAGCACATCTAATGTCTACACTGTAAGATACGCTTGCCTTTAACATCTGTGATTAAAATTTCAATAAGATATTTCGATAAATAAGAATGTTGACATTGCGCAGCCTGCGCATGCGCACATTAATCGCCCAGACTTTTCTTGGTTCAGATGCCAGAAACTGTAGGAGTAGTTCGCCTCGAATGGACGGACGGACGAATAAGGTGGCCATAATAGCGCCTTCCAACATCAGTTGGAAAATTCTGACGGCTTTTTTCCCGAAACTGTACACGCTGTTTTCTGAGCAATTATGGGGGATTTGTTTTGGGATTAGTTCATTTATTTTACTTTAATTTCTAGCTGGCTGTAACAATTCAATTTTCTTCTCTCTTCTATTTTACTCTTCTACTTCTTTTCTCCTGTGTGACTTCACTTTTGCTCGGGAGAAATTTTATCACTCTAGGTCTCTTTCTATGTATCTTTTCTCTCTTTCCTAAAATTCAAATTTAGGAACCTTTAATTTTTATTGTTTTATCTGAGACTGATAAGGAGAATCTCTGAAATTCTACATTTCCCCAAAGACATTATTCCTGTAGCTTTTGAGAAAGACTTACTCTGTACGTCGTTAGCTGAATTCTTAATTTGGTTTTATCCAAAAGGACTGTCGTGTATTGCTGTCGAGGAACTTGAATCCAAAACGACTTTGCAATGACACAGGCTGATTGTAGAATCGCTGGGAGGGGAGCCAACATGATCAAATGTAGTAGGTACTTATTCTGGGAAACGCAGGGGACAAAGAACATAGTGCGGTAAAAATGAATTATGATCTTGGCAAAATTGCAACATAAATAATTCTTTTTGCATGATACAGTGAAACGTGTCTATTTTGACATATTCAAAATCCCCATTAATCCCAACCCCCAGAACACAGTATATGAAGGGCACACTGTGTCCAGGAAATCAATTAAAATCCAAATTCGACTTTTTCATTTAAAAATTTCAAGTTTCTTATATTAAGGAAATTCGGTAAACACGTTTAAACAAGTTCAAAAAGTAATCGAAAACAATTTACAAAAGGCACATTTCCACATTAACAGTCTTTGTTCGAAAAAATTACTCCAGCCAAAGCCGTTTTCAGCAATTTAATAAAAAAAATCCGTCCACAAATAAGAAAGTTAGCACTGCGTATAGAATTTATAAGCACAAAATTATAAACTATCTCGAGAACCGTTAATAAACGGCAAAGGTGTAAAATTATGGTCAGGTATATGAAAAAATTGATTTTTCTATAACCTTTTTAATAATAAGACGCAGAAAAAATCCTTCCTTGGTACAATCCTCGACGCTATAACGAACCAACTATCGAAAAAAGTAGAACAATAGCTTTTGATAAAGATTTAGTAGCGATCGGACGGACGTACAGACGGACGGACAAAGTGGCCACCATAGCGCGTTTTTTTATTTTTATGGAAATGCGCTAAAAATTCAAAAATATAACCACTGAACCTTTTTTTTTTTCAAAATGGCGGCCATTTCAATATTTAGCTATTTAGTTTTGAAATATTTCAATGCCCACCATTTTGGGAAAAAATGTGTACTTAAAATTCACTGCCTCTTTCATGAACATCAAAAAATTAGGACAACCGATTGTGGTAAAACTATCAAACGGTGGTGCATTTTCAAATCAATTAGTGATCGCATACAATATTTCATAGCTCATCTCCACGCAGCTGATTGTGTGTGCCATCAGTCATGTAGCGTCAATTTTTGTACCAAAATGCCTGAACGAAATATGCAAAAAAATAACTGGAAAGAAACCTACATTAGGTTTAGGACGCCCACAAAACGAACATCACGTATCAGCTTTTTTGCGATCATGCAGCTATTTTCGAAGAAACGACGACGAACAGCTAAAGATATCAAATCTGATAAGTTTTATGGAAACGTTATTGGAAGGAGTTGAAGGATTTTTTCCAGCTGTGAGCGGATAGTTAATTGAACACTTTGAAGAAAGTATTGATATCTCTAGAAGTGAAGGCTCAACAGATGTTGACACTATCCTCAGACAGTATTATAGAAAGGCGTCGAACTCGAGCTACAAATGATGGTTATCGTGGAAGCAGCTGTAAAGATAAACCGACTGTGTAGCTCAGTCGTAGAGCGTTGGGTTACATAACCTAGGGTGACCATATATTTTAAGCATGAATGCTGTACAGTAAATAATAAAACAGTTTCAGGAAGGGAATTAAATAATAGAACTTTTGTGCGCAAAAAATGACAAGAACAAATATATTACGCTAGGGTGACCATTTATTTTTAAAGATAAGTGAGTTTGCACGTCTTAGTACCACTAGCCATAATGCCGAAGACTAGCTGACTGCGCACTTCTGAAAAAAACATCAATAATGCAAAATGTAGTTAGAATCTGCTTACCTACAAAATTTAATAAACGGCAGTATGTTATATGTAATAGTAAAAACACCAGTAGAGGAGTACACAGGATTAGTCTAGACTCTAGACTCTAGTTGGTCTCAACCTCAACGAAAAGACGTTTTTCGAAAAATCACTGGAGCAGCATTATAACGCATCACATGCTCTAGGACCTAGGTGGGTGAGGTACGGTGAGAAGTGAGAACTTACCGAGTGACGACTGCCGAGTCGCGCGAATTGATTGCTTTCCACACTGTGCGGAAGCGCGGAATGGCAGGGCTGAGTTGCAATTTTAATAAACGGAGCAATATGCATACTCCTTATTATTCATTGAACGGTATATGCTGTACGTTTGGCTGTACATCGCTCGACGCTGTACAGATTGTCAAAATTCCGTACAATACAGCAAAATTCCGTACATATGGTCACCCTATTTCTGCATTCAAAGACCTTTGTCGGCAAGGATATAAAGCTGAAGGTAGCCTGAATTAATCAGTGCATAATGAAGATGTGCTCGGCCCAGGTCAATATTAGCACCTTTTCATTTAGGACAATTACATGATCATTCATCCTGTCATTAATAGACACGTACAAGTAAAGATTAAATATGATAAATTGTGGAACAGTCATCAATTAAATTTTTGTTCATGAATGGAAAATGACCCATACTTTGAGATAATGTGTTTTTTGCGACGGGAAAAACGTTTGACATTATTTTTATCTCTGTTGACAGGTAACAAACTGTCACCTTTTATGCAATTACATTTTCCCCGGGAAAAAAGTGCTCACTTTTTCCCCGAGCTTTTTTCCCGGATATACTCGCATAGTAAAAATATTTAATTTTTGTGAAGCTACTTTCACTGCTTCTACTAATTCAGGTGAAGTCCGTGAAAATTCAGAATCAGACATTTTTAACTTTATGTCATTCAATATAACTATTAAACAATCATTAAATTCGAAATGGCTAAATCAAATGACAAAACTGAATTGACAGATATTTGAGTAATAGTCCAGGCTGTATAATATTTTTGTATGACAATTCAACTCATGTATAAAAAATCCCATAAGCCGCAGTGCAATTGTCACTTTGACAGCGGCAAAAGTTACCTGCATCTTTTCCAGCGAAAAATGCACTAGTGGTTTTTTCAGTTATTCATTTTTGAACCTATTATCGCATTATCCTTTCCCATATGACTAGTTTGACGTCTGTCAATAATTGGTTAGTTTGGTGAATTTCTTGTTCGTTAAATTGTCCTGCCGAATTACACTCGAGGTTTGTATTTAAACCGAGTAAATTTGGGTTGTTGCAATTCAAATCTGTTGCCTTTTAGCAATTGAACTCGAAAAACTGTCAACCTAAAAATGCTCCACCTTCGGTGTCGCATTTTTATTAGTTGACAGTTTTTCTCGTCTAATTGCTAGGCAACAGATTTTCGTTACCTAAACAACCCAAATTTACTCGGTAAAATACAAACCTCTTGTGCAATTATAAGTGAAAAAAATTAGTTACCGGGCGAAACCGGGTTTTTCAGGCAGGTGGAATGAATAGAATTTGGGAAAAAATAATTAAAACAGCTGAATTTTTCCGCGGGTGAAATCACGGGGGTTGAAAGGGGTGGAAAGTGGTATTTTGCAAATTGTGGTAAAACTATTGATTTTAGACGAAAATGTTAAATGTAAAAGTTATAGAGATTAAAAAAATGAGCAACTTTTGTATCTGCACTATTTTCACATAACCTCCAATTTTCCTAGAAAAACCGGAAAAACTGTTTTTTTCGTTTTTTATTCTTATTTTTGCGAAAAAATGTCGTAGGGCTTTGAAATTTGGAGAAAACATAGCTTGTTTTATGATAAAACAGAAGATAATTGTTTGGGCCCATAAAGTTGAACCGTTTCCAAGATCTCACGATTTCTGTAAAAAAATTTTTTCAAGGGGATGAAAAATCTATTTTTTTTCATCGTACAGAGGTGCGCGGGGTAGCAAAATTTTCGGGAAGACTTAATAGATTTTTTCGAAATCTGTCTTCTTCCTTCTCTTTAATGTTTGCCTAAATATTCTCTTTTGTTATCTTATGCTCAACTGTTTTAGTTAAAACATTTTTATTATTTCTTTTTTCTGCATTTTTACCGCAATA